TCCCATCTGATCTCCTCCCACTCTGTGCCCAGGCCCTGCCTGCCGCCTCCCTGCTCCCCGTGGCCAGTGGTGCTGCTTCCTGCACACTGCATACAGACAGAGCGGAGCACATGCCCAGTTCAGTGTTGTGTCATTTTCTGTGAAATAACGATGCAGTGGTTAAAGGACTCAGCTGGTAACCGGCTGCTAATCGCCAACAAAATGTTGGCGATTTAAACCCATGAGTCACTCCGTGGAAGAAAGATGTAACTAGTCTGCTTCCGTGAAGACTACAGCCTTGGAAACTTGGCAGTTTTACTGTCTTACAGGGTCACAATGAGTTGAAATCCACTGGAGGGCAGCAGATTTGTTTTATTGGCTGCCAGGCAAGTGTTAAGGAAGAAAAGAGTTACTGGTTTCTCCTGTCTTTCCACATCCCTGCCCCCCCGCCCCCCAACACACACACAATGTCCTTCATTTGATCTCCTAACAAGAACTCTTTTAAGTAACTGGAGAAATGAGGTGAGAAGGGGCAGCACTCTTAAAAGGCCATGCCAAACAAAGTCACCACAAACCTAATCCACTAATTTCGCTCTTCTATTAAGGAAAATAATACGTGTATTAGATTTTACTAATACAAAAAAATTCTTGTGAAAATATATGTAATACATTTCCCAATTTCACATTTTCATGTGTAAAGTTTAGTGATTGAGAATGGCCAGACTTTGTCTCACCTACTTTGGTCAAGTTTATTGAAAAATAAATACATTGGAAAATATATTGAAAAATAAACATACTGAAAAATAAATACATGTTGGGCAGATGAATAAATATAAATGTTTACATTAGTAAAGGTCATTGCTGAGTGAAGTAAGTCAATTCCAAAAGGACAAATACTGTATGATCTTAATCATATGAAATATCTACCAGTGGTCACCTATTAGGTGCTGGGCACTCTGCTAGGATACGGTGGAGAGGAAAAATGGAGTTCCTGCTCTCATGGAGTTTACATTCTACTGGGGAGACAGACTTTTGCTCAAAGAATCACACAGATCAATGTAAGATTACAATAGTGAAAAATGTTAACAGTGACTTGGCCTAAGAAGGGAGATGTGTAGTAAGAGCCTCCTGTGTCTAACAAAGGATTTGGCCAGTGAGCTAGTGACTGAACTAAGACCCAAAGGAAGATGGACGTATTAGGTTTGCATGGTTTTTTTCGGACCTCAGGTGTAGCGAGCTGAGGTAATCATACCCATCAGTGCACAGTTCATGACACACTATCATCATTGGTCTACCTGAGTAATCTCTCACAATACCTTTTATCTCTACTTCTACTCCCATTCTCTATTTCCCTCATAGGTGGGTAATGATGACAATCTACCTTGTTGTCTAGATCAGAGAAAACTAATGGATTAAGATTTTGCCAAATAAGTATGATGAAAAGATAGTGGGACAAGTCGGTAATGGCCCAGTGGTCGTGATGACCTTGAAATCTCAGAGTACTGCAGATGAAGAAGCAAGGTGAAACGGCGGTTATAGTCAAAGGTAGGACATACTTAAATAAGTGGTTTCGGAAATGGAACAGCTCTGAGTGATGACAAGGTCCAAGGTGAAAAGGTGGGAGTGATTGAGGTAACATGGAAGACATCAGAAAAGGCTTAGGATGTAGGAACAGGTCATCAACAAGGATCCAGGATAATGGACTTGAGGTGGAGACCATGATCATGAGCCAGGGGGTCATTGTCTTTGAAGGATAAGGGACAGCTATAAACAGGAGCCCTGGTGGTCTAGTAGTTAAGCACTTGGCTGCTAACCACAAGGTCAGTAGTTCTAACCCACCAGTGGCTCCATGGAAGAAAGATCCGGCAGTCTGCTCCTGTAAAGCTAATAGCTTTAGAGACTTTATGGGACAGTTCTACTCTGTCCTATAAGGTCGTTGAGTTACAACTGACCTGACAGGTTTGTTTTTTAATAAAGGGTTAAATACATGTAAGGCTTAGTTACAGAAAACACCAAGTAATAGCTATTGATAGGGCTTAAACAAGAGAGAAAGGAGCACTGGAGACACAACGGTTAAGAGCTCAGTTGCAACTCAAAGACTGATAGTTCAAACCCAGCCAGCAGCTCTACAGGAGAAAGACCTGCTTCCATAAAGAAAATTGAATGGAGTAGTTCTATTCTGTCACATGGGATCACTGAGTCAAAATTAACTGATAGGATCCAAAACCAAAGAAGCAAGAGAAGTTTGTCTCCCACACTCAAGACATACAGAGATAAAGACTGTTCAGGGCTCATAATGGGTCTTCTATTTCTATCTTGTTACTCTGCTCTGCATGGTATCCATTCCCGTGGATACTTCATGATCCAACATGGTTGCTGGAGTTCCAGCCATCAGGTCAGCATTCAAGACAGCAGGAAGGAGAAAAGGATGAAAAGCAGCACGCACCCTTCCTTCAACCCCTGAAGTTGTCATTTTCTCTCCTCTTGGCCAGAATTTTTGTAGCTGCAAGGGAAACTGGGAGGTATCTTTATTTGAACAGCCACATGACAAGCTAAAATACTGAGGGTTCTGTTTCTAGTTGTTGTTAGGTGCTGTTGACTCCAACTCATAGTGACCCCATGCACAACAGAACAAAACCCTGCCTGGTTTGTGCCATCCTCATAATCTTTGCTACGCTTAAGCCCATGGGTACGGCCACTGCGTCACTCTGTCTCATTGACGGTCTTCCCATTTTTCGCGCACCCACTACTTTACAAGCATGATAGCCTTCTCCAGGCAATGGTCTGTTCTGACAACATCACCAAAGTAGGTCAGATGAAGTTTGGCCATTCTGGCTTCCAAGGAATATTCTGGCTTCACTTCTTCCAGGACAGATTTGGTTGTTCTTCTGGCAGCTTCTATTTCTAGAGGGGAACAACTGGCAATCTCTTCCACAGGGAGTGATGGGGAAGACAGCAGAACACAAAGCCGGGAGTGAAGCAGATATAGTAGACTGGCATTAGCCTACAACGACCAAGACTTTCTTCCCGAGGGGATGGATGAATATTCCGGAAGTGGTACAGGGAAGAGCCCAACTCCAATTCCACAACTTGAGATCCGAGAGCAAAAAGGCCACTGCTTGGAGGGACCGTGCAAGAAGCTGTTTTTGAGAGCAGCAGGTTTACCATGAAGGCAAGGAGAAAAAGAGAATGAACAGTAGAGGCATTTGAAAGAAGGCCCTGTGGGAGGGGTAGGAAGTGACAGGAGGTGGGTTACAGGCCAGGAAGGACAGAGTTGCGTGGATACTGGATGAAATTAGGGATGAGAGGAAGACTGGACTTGGTCTTGCCAGTATCTGGGGAGGGTGGGTCTTGTTTGACCAGAATGAGGCTCCAAACCAGAAATGGCTCCACCCCCAAAATGCAGCGAAATGCCTTCGTTTACCCATCACAACCATTAGACTACCTCACATACCATCTTTCTGCTTTAGCATAACACTTAGTAAATTTTACATCCAAGTGTTATTATCAGCCCCTGTATTGTACACTTGAAATTATCTATAAATTAAAAATTACCTCAGGCTCAGGAGGGAATGTTCAAATGTCAAAAATTATCTTTACTAGCTCCACTGCAGAGGGTAGGTCAATTTGCAAAGCAATGAGAATAAAATCTGAAATAGTATTTCCTCCACATCCATCATTTAAAAAACCAGTTGTCTCGGGTAATCCTAACTCAGGGCATCCCACCCATGTGTCAGAGAACGATGCTCCTCTGGGCTTTCAATGGCTGATTTATTTGAAGGTCATGAGGCTTTTCCTCTGAGGTGCACCTGGCTGGGTGGACCCAGCCTCCAACCTTCTGGCTGTCTGCACCACCCAGGAACCCCACACCATTGCAGGGTGTTATTGCGAGGCTGTCTTCGTGGTGGCCACTCCCTCCCAGACACACCTGTGCCAGGTGTGATCCCACACTCTTGCCAGGCATGATCCCCTCAGAGACCGCGGATTCCAATCTCTCTTTTCAGGGAAACTTCTCTCACCATGCTGAACTACAAAAAGTGCTCAGGAGTCAATTGTCTTGAGTTTGCAAAAGAACAGCCACAAGGAAGTGACTTCTATGCACACACGCACATGGAGGAAGCAATGGACAGAAGACAACTGTCAGTGAGCAATCTTTATGTTCTTTCTAGGGGACATGGGGCAGGATTGTGGGAAGATGTAGCAGGGGTAAGCAATGGCCTTGGGAGGCAGCCCCAGATCAAATCCTGCCTCTGCCACTTACAAGCTGTGGGACCCTGGGCAACTTATTTAACCTCACTTCTTCCTCTATAAAAAGGGGTATTACGTAACCTCATTGAATTGTTGAGAAATAATTCAGAAACATACAAAACGCATACCACATACATATGGGTAACATTTTCAATTCCATTAGACTATAAACTTGCTGGGGCCAGCGACAGTGCTTGGTGAAAGAGGTAGTTATCTATACATACTAAAGGCTCAGTCCAAGGGATGAGGCTGCTGACCACCATATCAGAAAGGGAGCTGCTTAACTAGAAGCAACAAAACTTAGGAATGTTGAGTTCAGAGGCCAGGGCCAAGGCAGCCCTGAGACAGACAAACACTCTGTCTGAGAAACCCACGCAAACAATTCCTTACATTTAGGGCAGCATAGCATTCTACAGAAAAACCCAGAAAACTTGTGCCGTTTTTCAAATGAAAACACTGAAGTACTGAGAGGCTGACTTGCCCATCCCATAAACTCCAGTGAAGAAGAGAGGGCATAAAGCGTCCGTCAGAGTCCAGATGAGGGACATGAAGGCCATGGTGGTCACTGGATGAAGTAGGGCCAGTGGGATAGGGCCTTTCACCACAGGCATCCTAACTTCCACTGTGAACCACTGTTGCTTCCTGGGCCCAAACAAGGACAAGTGTTAGGGTAGGGCAACCGGAAAAAGGCAAAAAGTGAGCAGATTATACAAATGGCTGCGATCTTTGGCATTTTGGTCCTTGTCTGTCTGAGACAGACTTGGAAATACACAGGCGGCTTCTGCAGATGATGGGGGAGGAGAGCAGCAGACACCCCAGGGCCCAACACGAGTCCTGTGTGAACTGCCCGGCCTGCTCAGCAGCCTCCCTCCCGGACCCAGTTTCGGGCATTGATGAAGAGCTGGAGCCAGGGGGAGGTGGTCAGAGAGTCAAACGGAGGGGGCCGCCACGCCCACTGCCAAGGCCTCACAGCCCGCTCAGGGTGAGGCATGAGAGCCAGGTGGCGGCCATCAGGCGAACAAACGCCAGCCACACCCCCCGGGGAGCCGTTGGGATTCAGTGGGTATTGCTCTGTGGGGTTCCCGTCATCATCTGCCCACTGCAGTGGAGCCAAGCCCCTGGCCTCGATCTGGGCTTGGAGTTCCGGAGGATAAAATGTCATGTAGCCTGGAAAGGGGGAAGAGAAGCGAGAGCAAAGCTTCTTTAAGGCCTCTGCCCATCACTCAACCTGAGACCTCCCCGACCCCATGGTGGGTCCTGACCTTCACCGTGGGCGCTCCAGACAGGCAGCACAGCGCCCTCCATCCCTTGAAGCATCAGGGCCGGCCCAGGTCCCACACGCACACTGGCCCAGCGAGACTCATAACGCCCTGACAGGTTGTGGCGCAGCAGGAGGCCTGGCTGGGCTGGCCAGGAGTCACAGCTCGTCTCCACAGCTTCCTTTTGGGGGTCACTTCCGACCCAGCCCAGCAAAGCCAGCAGCTGACAACCATTGCACACACCCAGGCTGAAGGTGTCTGACCGCTTCCGGAAACGCCACAGCTCAGGCCCGGCCTTTGGATGAAAAGTGATAGCAGCCGCCCACCCTGGAGGGAACAGTTAAGTTGGGGTGATACCTAGAAGGCCCCAGAGAAGGTGGAGCAGGGAATGGAGAGGCCTGGCTGCTTCCCTTCCCCCACACCACTCCACTCCACCAGAAGCCCCATTCTGCACAGCTCAGGACAAGCTCAGGTCGGAGATGGCCCACAATTAGTTTCTGGTTTGGCCAGCACATTTTCAAAAACCTTTAGTTCCCTAACATTTATTTTTGTTATTGTTGTTAGTTGCTACAGTTGACTGCAACTCATGGCAACTCTACACGTGTCAGAGTAAAAGTGCACCACGAGGTTTCCAAGGCTGTGACCTTTTGGAAGCACATCTCCAGGCCTGTCTTCCAAGGTGCCTGAGTGGGTTTGAACCACCAACCTTTCAGCTAGCTGTTGAGTGCTTAACTGTTTGTGTCATCCAGGGACATTTGAAAGTAAGATTTCTATAAAAATCTGGAATTTTGGCTTCTCTCGAAAAACAGACTGGAGCTGTTGTTGAGACAACTTTCCTACAGGGTAAGCTGCTGGAGCTTCCCCTTGAGACAGGCTATATACCCTGCAGGCTGGTAAACCATCAGCCTACCTGCCTCTTAAATCACCTGTAGGCCCTTGCTGGCATGCAGCCCACTTGCTCCAAGCTATGCAGAGGGGAGAGGCTAATTCCCAGGTAGGAGGCAGGGAGCTGAGGAATGTATGGAAGGGAGTGTGAAGATGACCACAGGCTGACCTTTGGCAGAGCCCAGTACATCTGCATAGCTGAAGCCGCCCACAAAAGCCAAACCCTGGAAGGTGTCCAGCCCAATGGTCCCAGAGCAGAGATCCTGCATGGTCACATCCCACACCTGGCGGGACAGCAAGGGGATGTCAGAGGACATACAGTCTTGAGCCAAGAACGCTAGCCCCAGCTCCGCTTAGCCACCCTGCTCACCTCAAACCCAGCCAAATGGAAGGCATCGGCCATCTCCCGGTCTCCATTACTACCCTCCTCTCGTAAGATGGCAACTCGGGGGGCAGGGCCACCTGGAGAAGAAGGCATGTCTCTGGGCCAGAGGGCTACTTTCCCACCCCAACCCCCCTAGCACCTTTTCTAGGGAGGGCCCAGACACCCACGTCTTGGGCCCCAGCCTTCAGATCCAATGCCCTGAGGAAACCACATACTCCCTCACCAGGTTCCCTGGGCACAGAAGCTTTGGGAAAGGTGGGGGGCAGGCAGTAGGTGGGCCCTGTCCGCTCCCTCAGCCCCTGCTCCTCCTCTGCCACGCAGCGTGGCTCTGCCTGCATGCGGTCCAGCTGGAAGCTCGTCTCCTCCCAGAGGGCTCGCAGCTGCCCCACAGGCTCCTCCAGAACCAGAGTCCCATTCACTGCCACTCGTACCTAGGAGAGGGACAAACGGATCCAGGGCTCCGAGAAAGGATGCCCAAGCAATGCTGCGCCCCCACCAGGTTGCCCAAGAGATGAACCGCCCACCGCCTCCCCACTGCCCTCTCCCTCACTTCCTCACCATGGTGTGGGGCCCAGCACTGCCCGTGCGGCCCAGCTCTAGGCAGTGCAGGCCAGTATCCCGGTAACACTTCAGCACTTGGGTGAGGTCTGGTTCCTGCACCTCCAGCACCAGCCCTGGTTCTTCCGCAAATAGTACAGACAGTGCTGGGAAAGCAACGGGGGAAGTCAGGGTGACTGGAGGGCTGCCAGGGACGCAGAGCGAGTCAGGAGTGTATGATCAAGGCCAAGGGTCGGGGTGGAGTGAGAGCTGGGAAAGGGGGGTCAAGCATGTTGCCCCAAGTGCTATGGGAAGTCAGAGAGGTGTAGTCAGGAGCATGGTGGTGCCATCTGATTCAGTGACCAGGGAGGGCAGCATGGAACACAGGGAAAAGAGGGTAGAGACACATCATTCTCCAATAGGGCGTAGGGTCTGCATGGCAGGCTATTAGAGATGGGGGGGGGGATGGCAACCCGGGCCTGACCAGGTCCTCACCATCAACCCCAGGGGCAGGCACGTCCACCTCTATCCCACAATTCCCAGCAAAGGCCATCTCCAGTAGGCAGGTGATGAGACCTCCGTCACTGACATCATGGCCTGAGCAAAGGCGGCGGTCTGGAGGGAGGAGAAAAGAGCTCAGCAACCTCAAGGCGCAAACCTGATGGCCCCACCCACCTTCTGGAGCGTCAGGTAGAGTACGTGAGAATGTGGACCTAGAGAACCAGAAGGAAGGGCTCTCTGCTCCAACCCTACATGCTCAGCTGGGGAAGTCTGCCACATACATGTCTGAGACCATGCACACCATCTCCCCCCAGGGCCTCACTCACCCTTCAGCAGCCCCTGGGTGATGGTGAAGGCACGCACCAAGTTCTCAGGAAGATCCAGGTCGGGAGGCTGCTCCCCAAGCTGGGAGAAGCACTGGGCCAGAGCCGTGCCCCCCAGCCGGTGCCTCCCAGGGCTCAGAGGCACGTAGAGCAGACGACCTGGGGGAGACAGGGAAAGGATGAGGGAGACGGACCCACAGCACTGTGGCTCCCACCTACAGCGAGACGTCTTCCAACCCCCAAGTTCCAGAAAGCACCACAGCCCCACAAGGAGGGGGCCTAGTGCTCACAACACAGACCTCGCACAAGAGACCACACTCTGAACACCTAAGGCATTAAGGAAGGGGAAGAACTATACCTTTCCCTCCAGGATGCTTGAGGTCCGGGGTCACAGTGGCTGTGATATCCGGACACACAGCATAGGCTGAGATGACCAGGGACCCTGCGGAGCCAGAAGAGTAAGATAGAGCAGATGCCAGCCTAGCCCCACAGTTCCTCACCCTCTGCCTGTAGCCCTGGGCCTCACCAGGAGCCTTCACAGTATCAGTGCCCACCCGGGCAGCCATGCTGAGAGAGTCTTTGCCACCGTCTACTGCTATGCCCAGGGCTGCCATCACTGCCACCATGGCCTCACAGGCATCAGCCAGAGAGGCGCCCTCTCCTGGGAGCTTGGCTGCCCACATCCAGTTCCCACTGCACTTCACATCCTGAGAGGCGGTGAAGACATGGCATGAAAGAGGAAGAAAGAGATGCAGAGTCAGGAGTGACGGAGGGACTAGGCAATAATGAGCATGAAGGGTGGAAGGCTAAGGACACAGCAGCCATGCAAATATCCCAAAGGCGTGCGATTCCAGGGCAGGAGCCAGGGTACTCACCCGCAGGTCAGTGACCAGAGCAAAAACCAGGTTGGTGAGGGCCTCTGCCACAGCCAGCCGGGCAGCGACCTTGGGGTCCAGCAGGCTCTTGACTGGCTGCTCTCCCAGGGCCGTAGCGGCACCCACAAGCTCCTGGTGACTCAGTGCCACAACTGCTACATCTGCCAGAGGAGTCTGCAGTGGCCCGACACACTGCTGCTGCGCCACCAGACCACCCACGGAGCGGTCCACCTAGAAAACCAGGCGTGGGTGGTGAGAGGCAAGAGACAGGGAAAGCGTGTGCTCCTCTCCTCCACCCCAGGTCCCTCAGGAGCTCTGGGAGGCCTGGCTCTCCCAACATGGAGAGGAGAGCTCCACTTAGAAGGCAGATGGCAGGAAGACCAGACAATCAGGGTAGCGGCCCTGCCACTCCTCTCCTAGAGCAGCCCCCATGTGTGGGAGGCCCGGGTGGATGGGTGGAAGGAGGCAGAGGGCTAAAGGCAGAGCAAGGGTGCAGTGAGGACCTTGTTGGTGAGGTAGCGCTTGCTGGCCACAGCTGGCAGCCTCAAAACCCGCTCCAGTGCCAGGTGCACGCTCAGCCCTGGGGGCAAGGCCAGCGGCCGCAGCATAGGAGGATGCCTCTGAAGGAAAAACTCCTGCAACACACAGGGATAGGGGAGCATTAGCACCTGGGAGCAGAGTACGGGACACAGGAGGCGGAGCACAAGTAGGGTAAAGGGCAGTCTGCAGGGCTGGATCTCAGAGGGAGAAACATCATCCCACCCCCACTTACCTTCCGAGGCATCTTGCCCAGCACCCACTCCAGCTCCAGGTCCACAGGAGTCGGAGGAAGAATTGCAGGGGCGTCTCCCTCGCCATTTCTTCCCACAGGACACCCCCGATCATCCACCAGCACTATCTATGTGCCACAGGGACACCACCCAGAGGGAAGGAGACACAGAACACCAGTAGTAAACACCCCTAGGAATTGGGACAGCAATGCTTTTCTCATACCCCTTTTGGCTTCCCTTACTAAGTGAGGTCCTACCCTTCTGTACCTCCTACGTTCCACCCCCGAACAACCTGTCTGTTGCCATCTGCCATCTTACTCCTCTCACCTCTTTCCCTTGACAATTCTTCTTTGGCGCCACACCCAGGCAGCTCAACCCACTACTGACCACTGGGCCAACTCACCCTCCTGTCTCCTGTGATAGTGCCCACGAAGCAGACTGGGCAGCGTTCCCGAGCACTGACCCGACTCAGAAAGTCCTTGTCAGGGGCTCTCAGCAGGAGTGCATTTGACTCCTGGTACTCAGCCCCCCAGATTTCCAGGGCAGTCAGGGTTGGGTCCCCAAGCTGCACATGCATGAGGTGGAAAAAAAAGGAGGATCAGTGGGCACGCCCCAGTCTCAGGAAGTTGCTGGGAATGGGGAAAAGATGGGTAGGGCCGGCTGGAGCCACCTGAGTGGGGAAATACCAGACTTTAGGGGATGAGACGCACCTGGAAGCGACTGGTGTAAATGACGGCTCCAGCTGGGTCACTCAACTCCTTCAGGACATTGCCTGGTGAGAAAATTGCAGGGTGAGGTGGTCATCTGGCCACAATCAGAGCCAGGCCCACAAAAGGCAGCTCCCAGCCTCCAAAGGAGCTGCTACCAGGCCACTCATCACCATCAACCATCCCATCAAGTAAAGCTTCCAGCCCTACCTGAACCTGCCCACAATGTACATGGGCTGGAGAAAGGGTCACAGAGCTGGGTGATTGGCTGCAGATCCTCAACACCTCTTCCCAAACCAAATCTGGCAGACCAGCCCCCTATCCCAGCCCCTTCCCTCACCATTGCCACCAGCGCCCTGGTCGTGGAGGCTGCAGATAGGGTTTCCCCTGGAGGCTTCCACACAAGCCCGAATCACACGGTTCATCTTCTGTTCCATCTCTGGGTCCCCCCGCTGCACAGCATCAAAGTCCAGGTCACTGGTGTTGTCTCCTTGCACCTGGGGGAACAGAAGCCAAAGCTCAGCTCTGGGAGGCCAGGAATTCCAAACCCTACCTATGGGGCCCAGTGACACGATGTGGTCTGTGCCTTCAGCTCTTCCCACTCACCTGAACAGATGAAGCAGCTCCACCTCCAACTCCAATCCTATACACAGGCCCCCCAACCTTCACAACCTCCATGCCTGTGAAGAAGGAAGAAAGGCAGAATTGGAACACTGGGGAAGCCACGAGCAGGGGCCACCAAAGCAAGGAAGTGTGAGGATAAAGGAAAGCTGCTCCTAGGACAGCAGGGTCTCCAACACTCCCACTGGGCTGACGGGAAAACAAAACTTGTACAGAGGACAATTAAACAATATTGATCAAAACTCCAAATTCCAAAAATCCTCTGATTGGATAAATATACTTCAAGGAGAGAGTTATACACTCAGGTACAAAAATCACCTATGTACAAGATTATTGAACACTGCATTTTTGTTAGCAAAAGACAGGAAATAAGAAAGTGTATGTAAGCTGCTGTATGGAAAATGAATTTGCTCTGTAAACTTTCACCTAAATAACAATTAAAAAAAAAAAAAAAAAAAGACAGGAAATATTCTAAATGTTAGCAACAGAAAACCGATTAAGTAAATTATGGTACATCCTTACAATGGAACACTAAGCCACCAAAATAAAGAATTACTTATCAATATGAAATTATCTTCAAGATATATTGCTAAGTGAAAAAGCAACATGCAGTGTACATCCATTTACAACAGCATTAAAAATAGGAGTTCCGGTAAGATGGCGGAATAGGCAGACAGGCTGCACAGACCCTCTTCAACAACGAAAAGGGGAACCAACTAATACAGATACAGAAGATAATCCTGGAGCCCTGAGCTTTGAAGGGAAGGATATAGAAGTGGACTCAACTCCAAGTAGCAAAAGAACCTTCATGAAAACACCGAAAAAGGAGACATACAGAGCTGCAATCTGTCAGTGATCCTGATGGGACACACAGCTTGAATATCGCAGAGTGGTGTTAGGACCTAATAATTAACCTAAAAATTGGCCCTGCTAGCCAGGGGCTGCACAGAGGACTGCACTGTGGCTGGTGAACGAAAGGGGAAGTAGCGAAGAGGAAGACGGGCTGAGCTGTGGACTTTTGCCTGTCCAGAGGATGCAGCCATTTTGAATGTTTACAAATGGTTGGACCATTTTGGATATTTGAAACGACAGCACTTGCCCAGATTCCAGGGACCTAAGAATAGGCTCCACTTGCTGGGAACCACAAGGACATTCAGAATAAGAACAACTGGAAAGGTGCAATATTCCTCTCGTTACTCTTAGACCCCACATCCTCTTGGTGAACAGAGGGGCGGCTATCCCTCACTCCCACCCACCTTCTGGGCTGGCAAGAATTCCATCCCAGTCTGTGTGCTGAGACAGAGCCTGGGTGCCCCGCCCTGCCCATATTCTTTTTTCCTTTTTTTCAGTTTGTTTCTTTTTATCTGTTTTAAAATTATTATTTTGTGTGTCCTTTTTACTATTATTCTTTATTCTTCCTTTCCAGATTCTAGTTTTCAGCTTTATCTCTCTTCCCTGTTCCTGGTTCCCATTTTTTTCCCTTTCTCATGGTTAACCTAATTCCTTTTCTTTTTGCATTTTTCCCATTTTTTTCTTCATTATTCTCCTACTCTACCTTTTTTCTCTTACTTCCCTATCCCCAGATACTGCAGCATTTTTTTTCTTTTTTGGTGATTGTTTCTTGTGTGTTTATGTGGTGTGTTTTTTGTCTGCTTGCTTTTACTTTTTTGATGGTTTTTCAATTGTTGTTTTTGTCTAACTAAGTGGCAGACAGCAACAATGCCCATACGACAACTACACCTGCACCTTCTGCAGCTCCGTTTACTGAGTAAGAGCCACCACTTCCTTCTCCACCAACTGGCAACGATAAAAAACCACCTAGAGGAGCCTGACTCACCCTTAGCTGCTCTTCACAAACAGTTAATAGAGATCTAAATACAACATCACAATGTCTCCAAGACAAAAGACCACCACAGTCCACACAAAGAAGCAAGACAAAGTGGTAGAAACAAGGGAACAGGATACAGACCCAGAACATATCACTGAGGAGAAGCAGTACTGGAACTCCCTGATAAGGAATTCAAAAGAATTATATTTAGGTATCTTCAAAGGATTGAGAGATAGATAAGGAAAACACTGACAAAATTAAGGAAAACACAGACAAAATCCTAGAACAATATCAGAAGAAAATACAAGAACAAAATGACAAAATAAATGAAAAACTAGAAATGATACAAAATCTACTGAAAGAAATCCAGAAGATTAATACTAAATTTTCAGAAATAGATAACACATTGAAAGGGCAAAAGAGTAGAATCGAATCAATGGAAGATAGAATTCATGAGATTCAAGACAAATACCTGAAAACTTCTTTGGAAAGGGATCAGTCAGAAAAATGATCAAAACAAAATGAAGAAAGCCTAAGGTTCATGTGGGAAACCATCAAAAAGAATAAGCTACATGTAATCGGAATTCCAGAACAGGAAAATCACTGAGAAAATTGTCCAAGAGTTGTTGGAAGAGAACTTCCCTAAAATGATTAAAGATGAGAATATATCAATTCAGGAAGTCCAATGAACACCAAACAGGATGGACCCCAAAAGAAAATCACCAAGACATATCATTATCAAACTCATCAAAACCAAAGACAAAAAAGAATTCTGAAAGCAGAATGGGAAAAATGAAAAGTTACTTACAAAGGACAGCCAATAAGAATAAGCTCTGATTTCTCAGCAGAAACCATGCAAGGGAGAAGGCAATAGGGTGGTATATATAAAACCCTGAAAGAGAAAAATTTCCAACCAAGAATTATATATCTGGCAAAACCGTCCCTCAAATATGATGGTGAAATTAGGAGATTTCCAGATAAGTAGAAATTAAGGGAATTTGTTAAAACCAGACCAACCTTACAAGAGATGCTAAAAAGAGCCCTTGAACAGAGAACCAATAAGAGCAAGCAACAACTGACCATTAATACACAAGATAACATAACCCAGAAACCAACACAGCTATGGAAGTATCCAAAGTAAAATAAGCTTACAAGATTGTAAACAGGGAACCATGAAAGAGAAAAATTTTCAACCAAGAATTTATACCCAGCAAAACTGTCCCTCAAATATGATGGTGAAATTAGGATATTTCCAGATAAGCAGAAATTAAGGGAACTTGTTAAAACCAGATCAACCTTACAAGAGATGCTAAAGGAGCCCTTTGGACAGAACAGCAACAACAGCCAACAACAACTGACCACTAACACTCATGATGATATAACCCAGAAACTAACCCACCTATGAAAGCATCCAAAGTAAACAAGCCTACAAGATTGTAAACAGGGAACCAGAGACATCAATTGACAAATGAGGACAACTACAAACCAAAAAGAGGGAAAAAACTGTGTTGTTACAGAACTTCTGGATGGTAGGGAAGTCAAGACA